TTGAGTCCATAAGAAGGGGTCATGCTCTGTACCTTTGATAGCTGCATACAGAGGTTTTGCCAGTATCGCGTAGCTGGGAATCCATATCCTACAGAAGCCTGCTGCCCCCAAGAATTCTCGCACTTGTCTTCTATTCCTGGGTATCGGTATTTGGCACACAGCTTCTTTTCTCTCTGGCCCCATAATTCTTTGACCTTCAGAGATATGGAATCCCAGATATTTGACAGTTGGCAAACACAACTGAGCCTTCCTTCTTGACACCTTGTATCCTGCCTTCCAGAGAATGTGTAGTAGATCGTGCGTTGCTTGCTGACATACTTCCTTTGTAACTGCTGCTATCAACAAGTCATCTACATATTGTAATAATACACACTCTCCTGGGATAGACTCGAAATCTAGTAGATCTTGACTTAGAGCTGAACCAAATAGGGTAGGTGAATTTTTAAACCCCTGGGGCAATCTTGTCCAGGTCATTTGGCGTTTCGAGCCCGTTACAGCATTTTCCCATTGGAAAGCGAAGATACATTGGCTTTCTGCGGCAATTCGGAGGCAAAAGAAGGCATCTTTGAGATCTAAGACTGTAAAGTAAGTAGCCCCGCCCGGAATTAAAGCAAGCAGGTTATATGGATTGGGCACGACTGGATGTATACTAACAACCGCATCATTGACTGCTCTCAAGTCCTGCACAGGTCGATACTCATCTGTACCGGGCTTTTGAACAGGCAGCAATGGGGTGTTCCAGGGGGAAGTACAGAACTTTTAGGATACCATACCGTATGAACTTATCCAGATAAGATTGGATGTTCTTCTTAGCCTTCTGCGGAATATGATATTGTCTCAGGCTTACTGGATAAACCCCAAGTTTTAGTTCGATTTTAATAGGTGGAATATTGCGGGCCAGTCCTGGTGGGTTGTTCTCTGCCCAAACTCCTGGTATGTTAAATAAGGATTCATCACTCCTCGGGTTTTGGCTAGTCAACACTGTATAAAGTCGCCACTCTTCTTCCTTTGGTACGGACAATGTCATAATACCTGAGGGTCCATTAAACTTTAAGGATGTTGTTCCATTTGGTAGGAACGTAATCTGCGCTTGTAATTTGGATAGCATATCACGTCCCAGCAATTGGACTGGACACTCAGGCATATAAAGGAATTGATGTTTTACTACGTGGCCTCCCAATGTACAGAGTCGACTTTTAAGAACCGGTTTTTCAGCACTTCTTCCAGTTGCTCCTATTACAGTAATAGTTCTTCCAGATGGAGGAGCAACTTGATTAGTCACCACCGAATGTTCAGCACCAGTGTCGATCATAAACGCACTCCTTTTTCCCCCTATTGATACATCGACCATAGGCTCCGCTCGACCAAGGGGGATGGAGCCCGGTCGGTATCAATAGTCCTCCATGACCGTGTCAGCCAATCCCACAAAGTCCCTACCTTCTCTATCGCGGGACCTTTGCGCTGCTGGATAGTACCTATCTTCCCTTACACTTCCTCTGTTCCCATTACTCCCTCTATTACCATTACTCCCTCCGGGGCCTCCTCTACCTCTCGCTCTGCCTCTAAAGTTTCCATAACCTGCCCTGGGTAAGTCTCTCTCATACTGCTCTCTTTGCGGACACTCATTCCTCCAATGCCCTTCTTCCTTGCAGTACGCGCACTGATTCCTACTCAAAGGCTCCCTATTCCATCTACCATCGCCTCTATCTGAGCCCCGTCTATCTACGCCTGCGATCGCTACCGCTAACATATCTGCCTTTCTACGCATCTTGCGCTCTTCCTCTTTCTTACTTTCTGTTTCCCTATTCATATATACTTTGTTCGCTACCTCCATTAGTTGGGTGATAGACATACCTGCAAACCCTTCTAATTTCTGTAGCTTGCGCTTAATATCTCCGTAAGCTTGGCTGACAAAGGCGGAGTTTACCATTCGGGAATTATCAGCGTCTTCCGGATTAAAGGGGGTATACAAGCGGTATGCCTCCAATAATCGGTCATAAAAGACACTGGGCGCTTCATCACTTTTCTGAATCACCTCAACTGTCTTCGACATGTTAATAGCTTTCTTCCCTCCGGCTTTCATGCCAGCAATTATAGCGTCTCTATAGGCTTTAAGTTGAGCCATATCTGCGCCATTTACATTCCAGTCAGGATCGGTGTTAGGGTAATGTGTTGCGGCCCATGCTGCCGGATTGGCTTGATTTAAAGCACGGGCTCTCTCCTCTAGCGCCTTAATGGCCGCTTGGTTAATCCTTGTCCTTTCCTCATTATTGAACAATGTCATTAATAACTGCTGGCAATCAGCCCATGTCGGGTTATGTGTCTGAACTATCGAGGTGAACAGATCGGTCATAGCTTGTGGTTTCTCAGTGTACGAGGAATTGTGGGTCTTCCAATTCAAGAGATCGGTAGTCGTGAACGGGACATATACGAAGACTGGGTCAGCATGTGCCATTTGACCTGCGGCATCGATATAGGCTGACCCAGGATTCAGACGAAGAGGCATCTGATAATGTTTTAATTGTTGGGTACCGGTCAGTTGTCGGGTTAGTATGGGGCTACGTGGAGGGGCGTCAGTTAAAGGTTCCGGTCGAGAGGTAATAGGGCATGAGGATGTGGGAACTTGATTTTGTGAAAAATTAGTGAATAGTATACTCTGAGCCGAGCTAGAAGAAGCTTGACCGGAAGTTTGAAGTGGCGCCAAATCAGGATATTCAGATCTAATGGGGGTTGGTCCTGGTTCAGGAAGGGGAGTTTTAATACGAGGGGGGGTGGATTCTGTACTGGAGGAGGAAGCGGAAGTGGATGGGGGCAATAGGGGAAGGGGTGCAGAACTTCCTGCATTCGCGTCACTTCCTCTTAAAGGGAAGTAAGGGGGCGGCAAAGGGATCTCGGACTCAGGGGGCGTGTCCAAAATGGGCCTAACACCGGTCCTAGTGGACAAATAAGTCCTGGCCACCATGAGGCGACATTGCTCCTCGTGGCATATCCGGATCCATTTTGGCGAGTCGTTTACGGCCTGCCTCCAACAATCAATGTATGGAAACTGTCCGTAAAGTTCAGGCCTACCTGACACAGCCACGTGTACACGCTGTACCAGGGTTGGATCCAAACTGCCACGCGGCGGCCATGCCGCAACCAAAGTAGGCCACTCCCTAGTGCACAAAGTGACCAAACGAACAGGAGACATTTTAACCCCAAAATCACATATTTTGAATCCCTTTTTAAAATTCTTTACCATACAACCTAAGGGATCCGAAATCGCTGACTCTGACGCGCCCATACTTATCAATGGAACGTCGTTGACAACGAATACTATGCACGCGTTCTTATTCAACAGTCACACCCGTTTCCTCTGGCAACAGCACCACGTGGTACAGTTACCAAGTGAAACGTACACAATAACACAATAATCACTCAGGGAATTCCCGTACACACACAGCTGTTACACCAGTCGCTAAATAATCAATATTATGCCCTTTGGCGAAACTATACAGTCACCCACGCTATAATTCTCTATATATGAATTACCCGTCTATAACACACCCCAGTAACATCGTCTTTTACTAGTATCGGTTACAGTACGGTTAGCATAGGTCAAAGCACAATTTAAGGTCACAATACAATTATTAGTGGTTATGGTGTTAAACATGCAATAGACGACAATGATTAGTACTTATATACAGTGTCAGTAAATATACAGGGTTATGGTACCGTGCACTATGATACAGCAACACACTATTAACACTCTCGCTAGACGGCTGAGCTCGCGCTATCTAACAAGATATACACTTTACTAACAATCTTTAACACATTTACAATCCCAACTAAACTATTGGCCAGTACCTTGAATGGACTACCTAAAACTATATACACCCGTTTTGGTTAGCCACACTGCCCAAACACCACATATAGCGAACTAGAGGGCGAAATTTACAAAATTGCCCTTCTAGTCTATTTACTCTATCAAAAGTCTAGTGGGTTCCAAATTTACACGCCTTCCCACTTAGCCAAGATAGGTTGAGAGCTAGCGAACCGAATTTACACAGGCGCCGCTTAGTCTCCCGGTCCCTCCGACCTAGCGAACGTAATATACACCCTAGAACGCTAGTCTAGACAAGACACCGGTGTCCGGCTAGGGCTATTTACACAGGACCCCGCCTGACTAACCAGATCAAACGGTCTTACTAAAGAGCGTTCGATCGAGCGGTGCGCCTTCGCTCCTTCCCTCCGACAGAGGGGGCAGATTCCATACACAGATTTAAACCCCTTTTGGGCCTACCGCACAATCGGTATACCCCTAGTGGGTCTGCCGTCTAAAACAGCAGTTGTCTTACCTCCTCGTTCCTGAACCTGAGTTCACACTCATCGACGGGGACACCCCAGCACTTCTTACGTAGAGGCCGATGATCTCCTGGACAACAGACCAGTGGCGCCGAGACGAAGGGAGGTCCACGCAGAAGTTCAGGGGTGCAGCCGTAGAGAACGTGGGCAAAGATAGACCGTCTCACGCCTCTGCCTCTCAGCTACCGTTGAACGATGAGCTTCCCGGCCAATGCACCAAATGATACCGGAGAAACTGACGGAAGCAAAGCACAGAGGGATGGACACAGGTTTCTTCAGGAAGGAAGAGATTCTTTATTGGATCACCGATCGGGACTCAGAGGGACTAATGTCACCAAAAATACAGCAAGTTCTGAGCCCTGAACAATAGTGCAGGCTCCCTATATAGGCACATAACTCCTCCCATATTAAGCTCCACCCGCACATTCTCTTGACCAATCATTACAAATAAGAATTAACTTCCTGCTTGACCGCATGGCTTGTCCAGCACAATGGAGGAGGGGAATACTACATCCTGTATTCTTGCACATGCTCCGTACACTACTGATCGTATCTTGCCTCGTGCAACCAACTGATCGATACGTCAGCATATGCACGTACACATGCCATGTGGTAATCTCGGCCTACTAAATTTATTTTTACCGAGATTCCACCACACTTTCTCCCATAATTTCTTTATTCTTGGGCAAATCCAGCATAAACGTATACTGCCACATAATGTCTGGTAATGATCCATACTATCTTAACAAGATTTGAACGTCTTGCTAGTTATAGTGATTAAATAAACAATACTGTTAAGGGAGAGGAAAGGGTAATGACCCTGAACATGAGCCTTCATCCTGTAAAGACATGTAGGTGTACAGGGCGATGTGGGAAAAGTCAAAAGGACAGAATGTTTAGGCTGCCAAAAGTTCCTAAGTTTTATACCTACCCATTGGTTCTGGTATAGGGCCAATATTTGGTTTGAGTTTTGCAGCTTGAAAATATTGGAAGAAAAATATGGTAGATTTTAGCCACCAATCTCAGTATGTTTAAAATATTCTACAATTAAGGTTTTCCTTCCATTCCTCACAAACCTGTCTGAGATCACAACTCTTTAAAGTACACAACTGAGATGAGTAGAGGAAGGGATTAAAAAAAACATGGAAAAAGGTTAACGTTTACAGAAATGACACACCTTTGAGATTTTATAGCCCACATCTTGCTTATAGTTATCCATCAGGGGACTAAAATGGGTAGTAAGCCATGAGAGGTTGGACTTGGAGGAGTGTAGATTGTGTTTTTAAGGGAGAACATGGGGATGTTTCAGGCTCTTGGCAAACTCCACTGCAACATCTTTTCATAGATATAGAAAATAGAATGTGACAGCAGATGGAACCATTAGGTCCATCTAGTCTGCCCAATTTTCTAAATACTTTAATTAGTCCTTGGCTGTTTTCTGAACCCACCCTTCCTTGTACTATAGGACACTTTTAACATTGGACATATTGATCGCTTAGATCCAAGGGATATGTTGGACATATAGGTTAAACATTGTATTATAAGTATGCATTTTATGTGGTTTTTGTAACAGTTTCTGACTTAGAGATATTTCCTGTACCTGGAGTTAAGTTACTACAGCCACTTAAGCCAGTTATCTCCAGGATAGAGGAGAAGATAGCCAGGCCGCACAGCATAAATCTGTGGAACTGTTTTGGGCATGAAAGCTATGCTTGTGGTAGGTCAAATGTGACTCCCAGAAAACTTTGGAACCCCTGCTCTGATCTGAGTGATTTTTTTTTTTGGATATGTTGTTCACCCAGATCAGGGATTTATGGGGATATGTTTGTGTTTTGGGGTGTTTCTGGACTTTGGGTAAAAATTTATATTTTATGCCTGTGGTAATTGAGTTAGTCCAATGTGTTTAATTGTATCACAGGCAGAGGGGAGGTTTTGTGTACAGTATCTGGGAGTGTCTAATTATACAATACGGTTTTGATTGGCTTTTGTGACTGTGTCCTGTGCTCCACAAGGTCCACGTGGGTGGTAACCTTGTGGGGAAAACTGTATATAAGAAATGCCTTTGTGCTCATTAAACCAGTTCTACTTCACCCTAAATTTAGAGTCCTGTCTCTTATTGGGGGGAATCTGCTACAAGGGATTGCTATGCTCTTCATACTCCCTTGGATAATCACTAAGCTCTTGTAAGAGCTTATTCCTGTCCTGCTTCAATCTCTGGGGAAAGAGGTTCACCCACTGGAGCCTTGTCGTAGGTCCAGGGTGGGTAGGAGACGGAGAGACCCCAACCAAATTGCGGCGGTTCGTGGGGTCTGCTGTGGTTATGGTCGCTTGGGGAGTGCTTGGAGCCCTCAGGAAGTGCTAGGAGTATCCTTCAACGGAGGTACCCAGTCGGGGTGCCAGGTGATCTTTTACACTACTGTTAATTCCTCTCCCTATTCAACCAAGCATTCTTTTAAATCATCAGAAATAATTACCCCTAAATCCCTTTCCTCAGATGTTGAGGTTAGGACTCTAACCGATATATTATCTGGCACTTATCCACATTAAATGTCAGCTGCCATAGCTCTGACCATTTTTTATCAGTTTGCTATAAGGGATTCGATTTGAGTCTCATTAAAATTTAACTTTTTATTTTTTTTAAACAAGCAGTGTCCCAATCTCGCTGCAATTAATGCTTCTCTTCTATCATCATGACAGGTCATGGGACAAATCCAATTACAGGAGCATTGTGGCCCTAAGGTGCATGAGCAGCAGTCTCTCCATGATGGCTAAACGTTACAACAGAAATAATTATTTTAAAAAAATACCACATTTAGAGTATATACAATAAGTGGGGTAAAAAGGGAACACAGTGCTCATCAGCAGGGGTATACACACTCCGATCGGTTTATCAATTCTGAGTGTGTTACAAATATCTACTAATGCTTGGATACAGTACTAGTATGCTTCTGATAGAAAACTTTATATCTGTATATGGTTACAAGCAGCAGTGTAGCTGAAACTGCTAAGAAAAACTTGCAGAATTCAAAGTGAATTTAAGTCTTAAGTAGTTGAACTGGAAATGTCTCTTAGCCCGCTATGCTTCCACTTAAGTTTATTTGGGCTTAAACTGGCTCTGTCCTCATACTCCCCTAAACAGTATTTCATAAAATAATTTACTCACATTGACAGTTCAACTTGTAATTTCACTGACATTCCAACACCGTCAAAAGGTGTGTGATTGTGTGTGTGTGTGTGTATACTAAGGAAAAGTAGGGGCTACTTTGATTTAGATACCAAAGAAAACTTTGATTATTTGTCTATCTACTCCTTCCAAATTGATTGATTAATGCGTGCACGCTTTTCCTAGAAGTAATTCACACCGGAAACAACGTTTCTGATCAGTGAAAAACCTGAGGAATGCTTTATTCCCCGGAGTGGGAGCCCCTTTTAAAACAGAAATACGTCATATACAGAGTCATAGTTAACATACAGTATTCATTCAACAATTGGTTAACAGTCTAAGGGGTCTTGTCTAAACCCCCCCCTACAGGATGCAGTGTCGTCATTAAAGAGTTTTCCCACCCATATTCCAGCTCCATCTTGGTTACACGATGGGAGGGGGGAAGTGAGTAGTAGTTACTTTAACAGCGATTCTCCATTTTGTTACACGTGGCACATAGCTGTTACTTTGCACAAAGGAAGTGGGGGAGGAGTTTAATAAAGGAAGATGTTCTTTTAACACAAGAATTTGTTACATGAGGCTTGCTCAATGGGAAGGGGGGAGGCTAGCAGGATGGGAGGAATTTGTAGAGAAAATAGTGACTGAACACATTGTAGGGGGGGAAGGGAATATTTACTCTAGCATCCAGTTTTGACATAGTGAACACAGAATAAATAGATGTTAGTAAATAGGCATTTTATTTTATTTATTCTGTCCATAACAACTTGTCTTGGTATATTCCCTAAGCTCGACAAGATTGAGCTATTGCTGTCAAGTTTTTTCGTTCCTTCCAGTTGTCACTGAGTACAACACTGACATGGGCTTCTGGCTGATCACTGACCATAACCGCAGCTTTTTACGGACAGGTTCAGGGACCCCAAGGAAAGCCGTCACGGTCGGGTGTTGGTCTTTAACTCAGATCTTTTAGTTATGCAATTTTCTTGTTATATTAACTTGATACTTGTAACCAAAACACCTCTGTGTGGGAGACAGAGTTCCATCTCAAATTATACAGAGTAACCATAGTGGCTTTTATAAATAACCATTACAATCCAGCTAATAGATGAGGGGCTGACAAACTTCCTTAATATGCTGCGTTCTTGTAGTTAGTGCTCTTTTTCAATTGGTGACTGAAGTTGTCAGTTTTTTTTTTTAGTTTATTTTCTTTTTAACTAAAGCTGCACATTAAGCGCACACACCTTGCCTATTTCATATCTAATGAGTACTGAACTGCTAAAGTAGGTTTTGTCAAGGGGCAATGAGACTGTGCACCCATTGAAGTAATTTAAAGGGTACGTAAATGGTTGTGGTGCCTGTCAGTTAGGATGGCAAAACTACTCTACTCTATACAGCTCTTCATCCATCTGAAAGGGTGGGTCATGCAATCTTATTGATTAGAGCTAAAAAAAATTTAATGTCATTATTTTTCACCACAATATTTAGTGATGTGCCTGACATGTTCATACAGAATGACTCACCCAAACCCCTTACTACTGAATCTTATCTAGGGATGGGTGCAACATATTTTAACTATCAAGTGGCATGCAATTTGATGGCATAATCTCCCATACTTATGTATTACCATGTGGCACACATTTTGATACAATTTCTACCAAAGATTTTCAAAGGAGTGCAAATTATACAAGGTGGCCTAAAAGTAGGTATACGATATATGTAACTTTGCATTATAAGTTCTAAATTCTTTTATCTGCCCTCCAACTACCACACTGATATTCTAATGCCTGAAATGTAACTGCCACTTTGTGTCTATCCATATAGTCTGTGATGAATTTCATTGATTCAACTGTATACTAAAGCTTGGGCCACCTTAAATTGTGGCCAAAAATGTCCAAATAGTTTTTGCACAATGTATACGTTAAACTTATAAAATTTATAAATGATAAAATCAGCAATAGATTGCTGCTAGTTTCTTTAGTGTAATTCATCCATGAGCGATGGGGGGTGGGACATTTATTGTCCCGGCCCCTACCCATGTGCGGCGGGTGGGGGGCCCTAAGATGATACTGGGGGACCTATTGTCCCTTCCTCCGGCCATGTGCGGCAGGTGGGGGCCAAATCTACAATGGGGGAACCTGTTGTGCCCCCCCTCCCATGGGTGACAGGTGGGGGCTACATGAAAACTCCCCGCCCCCCACAAGGTGACTAGGGGTCCCCAGGCCTAGTCACCCCCCTTTAAAAAATAAAATAAAAAAATTACTACCTCCCTCCCTCAGCTTAAAAATAGTGAAGGGGGGGGGGAGGGGATTGCGGGGGGAGTAATAAATCTAAACACCTGTGGGTGGCGGGGAGAAAATTTATACTTACCATTCAGATGTTGTATTTAAAAAAAAAAAATAAAAAAAAAAAAAAATTTCCAGCCCCAAAAAAGCCAAATAAAAATCCATAATTTCCATCGAACTTCTAAAGTAAAAAACCCGAGCGCTCCCTGCTGCTCTTCTCCTTGTAATGAACAAACGAACACTGACTTTCTGATGAAAGAATAGACTAATTTCTGATATCGCGGGAGCGCGAATTAGGCGGCAAAATGACACCAAACGTCTTTTATGCGTGCTGACGTCAGAGTATGATTGGGCATGAGAGCAAGGAAGTTACATTCTCTGCTCTCAAATGGCTGGCTTGGGGGGCGTGGCTTAAAGCCACTCTTCAAAAGAATAAAAGTATTTGAAAAAATAGTGCCTTAAATATTTGCATAACTTAAATGAGATTAAGTTGTTACAGTGCCTACTGTGTTCCTTTAAATTAGGCAAACTATTCTGAAATTTTCTATTGTACATTATAAGACTTTGTAACATTGAAATGGATTTAGGGGTGTGGAAATTAAAAAAACAAACAAAAAAAAACTGCTTGTCCAGGGACTAAAACGTTTGCCCAATCTACTTGTCTGCCATGGAAATCTACATGTCCTGATACAATTATTATTTTTTTTTTTTTAAATCAAAACTGTATTTAAAAATGTTTTATTGATAGCTTAGGAGACAGACCTAACAATAATTTAAATGTAAAATGCAAGTATGTAGTGAACTTAAACAGAATCATTTCCAAATGAGAATTGTAACTTACTTTATCCAAAAATATAACTGAGGCAACCTCAAAAAGCCATATATATCCATTGACTTGAATGGTTACACTAGATGAGCTGTGGATGTTATGTAAAACTTTCTAGCCAGCACCATTATTCAGATGCTGCCACTAGTCAGAGTATTTGTATCACAGGAGAGGTTTTCTTTGGTTTGGGAAGCATCCTTAAGCAGGGTAACTAAAAGGACTGCAAGTTACAGAAGAGTAACACACACTAAGGTGAGGACATGGTGGAACTGTCATGACAAGTTCACTTCATGAGTCAACCCTGATGAGTCCTCTTATGTCCAGCCACAGGTTTGGTTCCGCCAGATGTAAGCCAATACTGAGTAGCTCTGCTGGGGTCATATTCCTCAAATTCCGATCCCTCCATTTTTTTAATGAGCAGGAGATACTGCAGGACCTAACGCACAAGTCTTGTTCTAAGTTGATTTTTAACGATGTTCATTGAAGAAAACACCTGTTCTGCCTCAGCTGTTGAAACACACTGTACATCATCTCTACAACTTTCAATATATTGCACAAATTAGATGGTTTTGAAGACATCGAACGTGCAGGCAAAACTTGGTTTTTATCTTTGAAATTTTTCATGTGTGCCTTAAGTCTGCAAAACTCCTTGAGGGTAGCTGCCTTTTCTTCAGTCGGAAAAAGTGCCAAAATAACCAAACAATTCTTAAAGGTCAGCTCTGCCATACGTAGTTCCTCTCTGCCTTCTGGCCAGGTTGCGTAGTCAAAGACTTGGAATCCACAGAGTGGCATAGAATCTATTATGGAGAATCTTTCATGAATG